TACAACAGAATGAAACACTGTCTGGGCCTGGGCCGTCCTCGCACTGTGGTTGTGTTGGAGCCTGTTGTTGGGTCCAGTGTCAGTTCCTCTCACGGAGGCGCTTCCTCTTCTCCGATAACCCTCTGCTTAACTAAGCATCATGTCCGTTGCCAGGGACTGGTCTCGCCTGGTAACACGGCTAACGTATGAGAGATGAAGTCTCTCCACCATTGTTTCCAAGGAGCCGCCTGGCCGTACTTCTTCCAAGGCTGACTTGTTTGTTCTGGTCCTTTCAGCATTCTTCACTGGCACCGTAATTCAGATGCATCACGTGGTGTGTGGTCAACCCTAAAATAACTGTAACGGGTCCTTCCAGCATCCAGATATCCGTTGCATTCCTCCTTTGTGTCGGACTCTCTGGGTGTGTCAGACGCTGGAGTCCCCGGAGAACGCATGGTGTTGGAGGAGGATATGTTGATTAGTAAACAGATCATCATGGTGGACTGACCAGAAGAGGTTTTCCACTTCTGGGAAGAGTGGCAATCTTGGAAACCCGCAGGGGCAGTTCAGCTCTGTCCTAGAGGGTCCCTCTGAGTCGGAGCTGATTTAATGGCAGTGAATTTGGTTGTGGTTTGAGGATGACCAGTGGGCAGCCCAGAAGGCTACAACGTTACTGTTTCGGGACCGTCTTGTTCCTGCCCATCCGTGCTCCACCCAGCAGACAGCTTGATCTTTGTGAAACACGGATCTCATCTCTGTACTCCCCATGGCGCCATCTTGAAACTGGCTGAGAGGCCCTGACCGGTACTGCATAACCACCTGTCCAATGACATCACGTCTTACACTGACTGCTGGATCCAGATTGAATGTATTTCTGTAACAAGCCTCCCGCTCTTACCTCTGGCCTTGCGCCTGCACTGACTTGTGCCTGGAAGCACTGGGACATTACCCCTTCTCAGTGGTCTCCCATCCGCTCCCATGGCCTCTTTTCACTTGCCACTATCTCACAGTGCCTTCTTCTAGGACATTTCTAGTGTGCTGTTCGCTCCGGACTCCCTTGTCAGAAGTGTTTCCGAAGGACAGGCGCACTCATGTCCTCTGGGATGGGCACTGCTGGGCAGGTGCCGGTGTGCCCGCCTGGTGGGGAGAAGGGAGCCTGCTCAAGAGAATGGAGCAGGCAGGGCCAGGATTCTGGCCATTTCTCTTGCTGTTCTAGGTGGGTTGTGATTGCGTGCATGGCTTTGTCCCAAGGGGAAAAGGAAAAAGGGATTGGAGATGGGGGCAGAGCTTGTCAGCGCCCTGACTGTCCGTGAGGCAGGGCGCAGGCAGGGTCAGGGGAACACGAGGCGTGGAGAGCGGAGTCAGAGAACGATGACCGAAATATGCGCAGGTGACCTTGGGCTGAGGACTCCGTGTCCTTGAGTCACGAACTTTCCAGCCACCGTGAAGAGAGCAGCTGCCCTCCTGAGCCAAGAAACAGGCAGGTCCCCCCAGGCTTGTGAAGTCTGGGATCCGACTCTGCTTCGGGAGCTCCGTGTGCACGGCTCCACAGGGGGCCCGGGTGGACGGGGCACCCACACAGGGAGCTGATGGGTGCAAGGCCCTTGGATGGAGGCGAGACAATGCAGAGCGAGGGAGACAACCTGTGGGTCTTGGTATCTGTCGAGAAGGAAGGGCCTTTCAGGTAACCTCAGGAACAGGAAAGCCCAGGGCGCCACCAGGTGCAGAGGAGGTAGGGCCAAGCCTGTGGAGCGTGGAAGCTTTGAAGATGAGAGGCCTTCTGAGGTTTTGAGCAGAGGGGTGCGTGGAGCAGAGTCGGGTTTTCAGAAGATGGGGTGGTGATGGCCTGGAGAATGGGCTAGAAGGGAGGGACATCGAGGAGGGAAAAGCGTTCGTCATTGATAACCAGGGCCTTGGAGACCAGGGCTGCTGAAGCTGACAGGTGAGGCAGAAGGATGAGGAGTGAGGTGAAGGGCTTCCAGGAACTCCGGGAGGACGAGCATTCTGAGGAGGGGGGCTTAGCCCAGGGCCAGGCGGAATGGCATCGAGTCGCTGTTTCTTGAGAGAATCCCTGGGGAGATTCTGCAAAGGAAGAGCTACTGAGGGCTGGGCGACGGAATGGCCCTGCCCCTCCATCTCTGCCAGTGAGGCGGTGAGATGCCTGAGAAGCTCAGAGGTTGGGGGCCCGTATGAGGGTCTGCTGGAGCAGCCTTGCTGAGCCTGGAAGAATGCGTGAGCACGTGGACGCCGGCACTTGACTCCGTTTAGGGACCAGAAGTCCTGCGGGACATCTCCAGGCCTCTCTGGGTGGTGAGGGTCCTGGAGCTATGGGGCTTCTGCCCCTGTCCTCTGAAGGGCTCTCTTCTCTTAGCCATCAGTCTGTCTGTCCACAAGTCATGTGCCTGTCGCCTCACTGTGTGGGTGCCCCGTTCACCTGGAAAGTTCGTGACTCAAGGACACGGAGTCCCCAGCCTGAGGTCACCTGCGCATATGTCCGTCATCGTTCTCTGTCTCCGCTCTCCATGCCTCGTGTTCCCCTGACCCTGCCTGCGCCCTGCCTCACGGACAGTCAGGGCGCTGACAAGGCTCCTCCAGGGTCCTCTGGGACCAGAGACCATCCCTGTCCCACCTCCACGGTCTCACGTGGCACATGGGTGTTTTGGGCGCGTACCGGTGTTCCCTGTGCTTCCCGCTCTCACGGGCTCTTCATAGCGTCCTCTGAGTTCTGTGGCATTTCCGTTTGGGGGGGTGAGGAATCTGAGGTGCACACACTGCCCAGCCTGGGGCTGGGAGCTGGACCTAGCTGGCTGCTGCCAGAAGCCTTGTTCTCAAGCTCTGCTGGGCTGCCACCCACGTAAGGAAGTTGTGTGGAGGGGCTTCTGATACTTGAGGAAACCCACTTCTACCAGAGATTTGGGGGTGTGTGTGCCAAAGGGCAGCATCGATGTAACAGTCTAGGGTTGAGAGGGACCTTGAACCTCAGCAAATTCCAGCTCATCCCGAGGCAAGCCAGTGGGGCTTCGCATGTGCAAGCCTGCCCTGGGGACACACGTTTAATGGCAGTTGAGTGGCCCCCATCCGCTTGCATGTTGGCTCGTTTTTTAACCACCCGTCACGGAAGTTCGGTGCCCTCTCCCGCTCCCTCCTGCCCGCCCTTGGTTAAGGGTGACTCAGTCGTGATCTGTGTCCGAGTGCCCAGTCCAGGTATTTCATACAAGTGACTCACAGTGTCTATACTTCTGTTACGGACCGACTTCTCTCATCATGATGCTTCACTTTTGTTCGGTCCCATTGTTTGATGTCTGTGTGTGTGTGTGTGTGTCTCCGTGCCAGATTGGATTGTCTTGGGCAAGACCTGCCCTGCCTCGCCCCACCCAGACCTGGGTTTAAATGACCTCCCTCCGTCTCCTCATCCTCTCACTTCTGCCTCAGCCTGAGCCTCACTCTCCTTCCACCATGCCTCTTCCCCAGATCGACAAGTATCTCTATGCCATGCGGCTCTCCGATGAAACGCTGCTGGACATCATGGCTCGCTTCCGGAAGGAGATGAAGAACGGCCTCTCCCGGGATTTTAACCCAACCGCCACGATCAAGATGCTGCCAACCTTTGTCAGGTCCATTCCCGACGGCTCGGGTGAGTCTGTCTTTCCCCAGGGCCAGCTCCTCTGTGAGCCCAGCCTTCTAACTTGCGCTGATTGTTCGTTCGTTTATTTTAAACTCATTTTCTCGTCCATTCGCCATTCCGTCCGTCTGATCTTGCCTCGATCCATCTGAGGTCTGTCATGGACCTACCATGGGCCAGGCACCGGGGAAGCCAGGCACCCGGGCACCGACCCAGTGACTGGTGATGCTGGAGAAAGCTTGATGTGGATGGGTTTTGTGGCTGCTCTGACGTCTCTGGAACATGAATGCTCCAGAACTAGTCACAGGCTCGTTTTAAGGAGATCTCTCCATCAGGGCACTTAGGCCTCCCCAGAAAAGTAGCAATCCACGTGCCCAGGTGGGTTTCAAATTCAGAGGTGAGATTTACGTCCTCGTTTGAACAAAGGGCAGCCATGCTGAATCCAGGTAGCCCTAAAGCAGAGAATTGGGTGGGGAGGTGGAATGGGCAAAGGCGTTATCCTCTGGGTTGCTGCCCTGGGCCCCGACCTTGCTCCCCAAGCGTAGCATCAGCTGAGCGCTTGGCAGAGTGGAGACCAGGAGGGCGCAGCCTGGCCTGCCCCGGGGAGCCTGCTCTGCCTGACTGCCCGGCACGTATCCCTCTGTGTGCCCTTCTTGCCCAGTTTGTCACGGTCAGGAACCCCACTCGGAGCTGTGTTCTGGCGTCTACTTCGCCTAGGACATGGGGAAAGAGGCCAGGAGGCAATGAGCACCCACTGCCACGATCCCCCAGCCCTGTGGCTCTTGTTTAGAGCAGTGATTGGGAGCATTTTGTATGCAGCCTGGAAAACTAACTTCTGTTGCACTGGATGGCCACATAGATAGGCTGGTCAAGTGCCCTCCCTGTGTGCCGGGGATGGAAAGGCCTGCTCTGCCCGCAGCCTGCCTTTAGGAGCCCATCAGAGCCTGGGCTGATATCCTGGTACCGGCGGCGGGCAGGCCCTGTTCATTCTGTCACCAGTGACCCAAGGTGGGGCTTGCTTTGTGCACACACCTTGACAGTTGCCTCCTTAGACTTCTTCCTCCTTTTGTCTTCCTTGAGGTCTTGGGTACCAGCAGGTTAGCTTTTTAATAAGGGCCAGACATCAGTGATCAGACTGGGCCTAAGTGTGCTGGGGAGGCTCAGAAGCTCTGGCCCGGGAGCTGGGAGGCGACACCTGCTGCTTCTCCCACCCTAGAAGGAGCTGAGTCCAGGAGTGTGTGGGCCTTCCCAGGATCACTGGAGTTCCATGGGAGATGTATCTGTGTCCTGCTGTGAGCTGGGAAAGGAGCCTTGGCTGGCACGGTGGGGCTAGGCATTGGACTGCTGACTCCTAGGTTGGCAGTTCAAATCCACCTATGAATCAGAATCGTCTTGATGCCCAGGGCTTGGTTTTTTGTTTTTCTAGCTGAGAGAGTTGGAAGAGGAGAGGGTGTGGGTGTGGGCAGCCCCTAGGAGGGTACTTGCTCTGGCCTGGTTTGGGGGAGTGCAGGCAATACCCCATCCTGTGGGGTCCCTGGGCCTGTGTGGCTAGTCTAGGGCAGACTCATCTGAGGGGGGGTTGCCTTCCCTTCCTCCTGGTCCTGCTTAAACCAGCCCACCCCCCAGGACTGCATGTCCGTAGGAAACCTCCCATCATAAACCATTTCTAGGACTGAGTGTCTCCAAGTGTAATCCAGCCGCTTGCTGTAACCTCCTCCTCTCCACCCATCGGCTGTGCCTTAAGACAGACTTCATTGTGGTTGGGGAAATGCATCACTCTCCAGCCCCCACTTAGCATTTCGTAGCAGACACCAGGACGTTGAAGGTGCAGGGTACTGACCAAAGCAGTGTAACTCCCCTTAACCGCCTTTCCCCGCGTCTGCTCCCCCAGTCTCCCTGCTCTCAGACACGCATTCTTTTCCTTGAGTCTCTCTGAAGCAGTAAAACGCGGTACAAGAATTGCATCTTACAGTTTTTGACCGGCAGCATTTCACTTTTCTTCCCTTGTCTTCCGTGAAGGAAGGGTGTGCCTCAGCGTCGAGGGGTGTAAGCACTGCTGATAGGTGTAAGAGCACCCACCCCCACCCCCCACCCCCCCGCGAGGGTTGGCAAACACTGTGCTAGGGTGTGCACAGTTAGAGGTGGGGCCCCATGCTCCTCGGAGCTCCTCCCTGCCCCTCTCCAGTGCTGCGGGGCCGGACAGCTGGGGCCTCTCCAGAGCAGACAAGAAGGAAAGCCCTGAACCTCTCAGACCCACTGCCCGTGCCCAGGGGCCCAGCTCTGCCTGCCTGCTTCTTCCATCCCATGGCCCTACTCGTATGGCTGCCCTGATACGCATGCGTGGGCTCGGACCCTGTGGCCGGGGCCCACGCTGACCCTGGAGCAGTCCTTGCAGATATTGATAGTGATGCCAACACCCCCCAAACCTCCCCTCATGGCCCCCCAGACCTGTGGGAGGTACCATCACACCAGCCTGGGGTGTGGGGAAGCGCCCTCCTGTATTGGCCAAGACTCAGCAGGAGTCATCAGAACGCAGGTCTCCTTAATAGTAAGTCCAGGGTGCTGTTCCCCTTTTGAGATGTTAATCACTGCATGAGATGCAGTAATTAATCAGCCACAGAATTAGTGGTAATCCCAAACCACCAAAGGGTAAATGGGAGGCCCATGTGGTGGAGAATCACCCCGGCGAGTTCAGTGGTGAGCAACTTCCAAGGCCAAGGAGACACAACCCTTCCCTTCCCTCTGCACCTGGCCCCTGGCAGGCAGAGCCTGAAGTGAAGCGGTTGCCCTCTTTCTACTGATTTTGCCGCCCCGCCCCCCTGCCCCCCGAAATGTATCGGCTCATTTTTACTATTCAGTTGTTTTCCCAGTGTTCTTTTTTTAATAGGCAGTGGTTTGTCTTTATTGCTCATACGTCATCTGTTCATGTGGGCTTGGGTTTCTTCTTTATCCTGAAATGCTTGTAGCTGCTGCAGTAGTTTTTAAAACAGAGAAAGTCTGAATAATAAATAAGAAGGAAAACATTGACACCTTTAACACTGGCTACTGGACTAAATAAAAGTCCCTCTTGGAGCTGCTCGGGCCTCCAGGGGACAGTGGCCCCTCTCTGTCCAGCTCCTCTGAGCAGATCCAATTCACTTCTCATTCACAAAACTCCCATTTCCTCATCTCCTCATTTATCACTTAGGAAGGATATAAATACCAATCCAACCACACAGTTTGAAAGTAAATAGAGTTGGCTGTGGTATGTGTTTCTAAAGAAAGGGCTAGCCCCCCCAAATAACTTGCTAGGAACTTGAACGTGGGCCCATCCTCTTGTTTCGGGCAAAGCCGGATGGTTTGCACCTGCAGTGTGGTCAGTTATTTCAGAGCCCTGGCTGTGCTTTGTACTGCTGTCCAGCCAAATCGATGTCAACTCATTGCCACCGAGGGCCGAGGAGAACGGCTGCGCGGGGTTCCAGGGCGGCCATCTCCAGGAAGCACACAGCCACACCATTCCTCCAAGAAACCACTCGCACCACAGGTCTTCCGTTAGCACCGAGCGTGTGGCCACGGGACCGCCAGGCTCCTCTTTCCAGCCACAGGAAGGATTTTTCCTGTCTCTTTCCTTGTGCCCGGTCCTCGTCTGGGAAGGAGGTTGGCGGAGCCTGCAAGTTCTCTGACGGTGCGGAGTTCTAGAATGAACCAACCGGGACGGGGTAGCAGCAGAGGGGGCTCTTGAAGGAGGCGTGGATTTCTCACCGAGCAGCCGGCCTGCACGGGCAGGGAATGCGTGCCTCGGTGCCTCCCGTGGCCCCGTGTGCCGCCTGAGCTCACTGAGCCCGGGCGGGGTGAGCATTTCAGGGAGGGGAAGCTTCGTTTGCTGTCTGTCCCGGCGCAGCAGACCTGCTTTCGAGAGGAATGACTGTGCCCGTGTTTGTTTTCCATGATATTTGCTGGTGATAATGGCTGTCATTAGGACGTGGACAGCTGCCAGGGGCCCTTCACATGTTTTGTTTAATGAGCCTTCTCTCCAAGAACAGTCCTTCTCCTGGGCTCAGCGGAAATGGGAAATGTCGGAGGAGGCCAGAAGCAGGAGGCACGGTAGCAGGACCCAAGTTCGGGGCCCGAGATCTCAAGAGGAGGATGGGAGGCAGCCCAGGGCTGCAGGAAGAGGCCGACCTTGAGGGGACTAGCACAAACAGACATCAAAATCCACGGCTTTGGATCAATCTCTGGCTCTGC